TCCAGGGGACATTGCCAGGGACAGGGACCAAGACAGGGACCAGGAGAGGGTTGGGGACAGCTGGGGACATGCAGGTGACATTGCCAGGAACAGGGACCAGAACAGGGGACCAGGAGAGGGTTGGGGACATCCAGGTGACATTCTCAGGGACAGGGAGCAGGACAGGGAACCAGGAGGGGGCTGGGGACATGCAGGGGACATTGCCAGGGACAGGGAGCAGGAGAGGGGACGAGGAGAGGGTTGGGGACATCCAGGTGACATTGCCAGGGACAGGACAGGGGAGCAAGAGGGGGCTGGGGACATGCAGGTGACATTGCCAGGGACAGGGACAGGACAGTCAGAACAGGGAGCAGGAGAGGGTTGGGGACATCCAGGGGACATTGCCAGGGACAGGGAGAACAGGGGAGCAGGAGGGGGCTGGGGACATCCAGGGGACATTGCCAGGGACAGGGAGCAGGACACGGTCAGAACAGGGACCAGGACAGGGTTGGGGACAGGGATGGGGACAGGGATGGGGACAGGGACCAGGACAGGGTTGGGGACAGGGATGGGGACAGGGACCAGGACAGGGTTGGGGACAGGGATGGGGACAGACAGGGATGGGTCATGGGGACACGAGATGGGGACATGGGGACAGGGGGTGACACAGGAGACACAAGGGACACAGGCTGAGGACATGCAGATGTGTCACAGGGACATGGGGGGACACAGGGGACACAGGACGGGTCATGAGGACTTGGGGTGACACAGGGGACACAGGCAGATGTGTCACAGGGACATGGGGGGACACAGGGATGGGTCATGGGGACACGAGATGGGGACATGGGGACAGGGGGTGACACAGGAGACACAAGGGACACAGGCTGAGGACATGCAGATGTGTCACAGGGACATGGGGGGACACAGGGGACACAGGACGGGTCATGAGGACTTGGGGTGACACAGGGGACACAGGCAGATGTGTCACAGGGACATGGGGGGACACAGGGATGGGTCATGGGGACACGAGATGGGGACATGGGGACAGGGGGTGACACAGGAGACACAAGGGACACAGGCTGAGGACATGCAGATGTGTCACAGGGACATGGGGGGACACAGGGGACACAGGACGGGTCATGAGGACTTGGGGTGACACAGGGGACACAGGCAGATGTGTCACAGGGACATGGGGGGACACAGGGATGGGTCATGGGGACACGAGATGGGGACATGGGGACAGGGGGTGACACAGGAGACACAAGGGACACAGGCTGAGGACATGCAGATGTGTCACAGGGACATGGGGGGACACAGGGGACACAGGACGGGTCATGAGGACTTGGGGTGACACAGGGGACACAGGCAGATGTGTCACAGGGACATGGGGGGACACAGGGATGGGTCATGGGGACACGAGATGGGGACATGGGGACAGGGGGTGACACAGGAGACACAAGGGACACAGGCTGAGGACATGCAGATGTGTCACAGGGACATGGGGGGACACAGGGGACACAGGACGGGTCATGAGGACTTGGGGTGACACAGGGGACACAGGCAGATGTGTCACAGGGACATGGGGGGACACAGGGATGGGTCATGGGGACACGAGATGGGGACATGGGGACAGGGGGTGACACAGGAGACACAAGGGACACAGGCTGAGGACATGCAGATGTGTCACAGGGACATGGGGGGACACAGGGGACACAGGACGGGTCATGAGGACTTGGGGTGACACAGGGGACACAGGCAGATGTGTCACAGGGACATGGGGGGACACAGGGATGGGTCATGGGGACACGAGATGGGGACATGGGGACAGGGGGTGACACAGGAGACACAAGGGACACAGGCTGAGGACATGCAGATGTGTCACAGGGACATGGGGGGACACAGGGGACACAGGACGGGTCATGAGGACTTGGGGTGACACAGGGGACACAGGCAGATGTGTCACAGGGACATGGGGGGACACAGGGATGGGTCATGGGGACACGAGATGGGGACATGGGGACAGGGGGTGACACAGGAGACACAAGGGACACAGGCTGAGGACATGCAGATGTGTCACAGGGACATGGGGGGACACAGGGGACACAGGACGGGTCATGAGGACTTGGGGTGACACAGGGGACACAGGCAGATGTGTCACAGGGACATGGGGGGACACAGGGATGGGTCATGGGGACACGAGATGGGGACATGGGGACAGGGGGTGACACAGGAGACACAAGGGACACAGGCTGAGGACATGCAGATGTGTCACAGGGACATGGGGGGACACAGGGGACACAGGACGGGTCATGAGGACTTGGGGTGACACAGGGGACACAGGCAGATGTGTCACAGGGACATGGGGGGACACAGGGATGGGTCATGGGGACACGAGATGGGGACATGGGGACAGGGGGTGACACAGGAGACACAAGGGACACAGGCTGAGGACATGCAGATGTGTCACAGGGACATGGGGGGACACAGGGGACACAGGACGGGTCATGAGGACTTGGGGTGACACAGGGGACACAGGCAGATGTGTCACAGGGACATGGGGGGACACAGGGATGGGTCATGGGGACACGAGATGGGGACATGGGGACAGGGGGTGACACAGGAGACACAAGGGACACAGGCTGAGGACATGCAGATGTGTCACAGGGACATGGGGGGACACAGGGGACACAGGACGGGTCATGAGGACTTGGGGTGACACAGGGGACACAGGCAGATGTGTCACAGGGACATGGGGGGACACAGGGATGGGTCATGGGGACACGAGATGGGGACATGGGGACAGGGGGTGACACAGGAGACACAAGGGACACAGGCTGAGGACATGCAGATGTGTCACAGGGACATGGGGGGACACAGGGGACACAGGACGGGTCATGAGGACTTGGGGTGACACAGGGGACACAGGCAGATGTGTCACAGGGACATGGGGGGACACAGGGATGGGTCATGGGGACACGAGATGGGGACATGGGGACAGGGGGTGACACAGGAGACACAAGGGACACAGGCTGAGGACATGCAGATGTGTCACAGGGACATGGGGGGACACAGGGGACACAGGACGGGTCATGAGGACTTGGGGTGACACAGGGGACACAGGCAGATGTGTCACAGGGACATGGGGGGACACAGGGATGGGTCATGGGGACACGAGATGGGGACATGGGGACAGGGGGTGACACAGGAGACACAAGGGACACAGGCTGAGGACATGCAGATGTGTCACAGGGACATGGGGGGACACAGGGGACACAGGACGGGTCATGAGGACTTGGGGTGACACAGGGGACACAGGCAGATGTGTCACAGGGACATGGGGGGACACAGGGATGGGTCATGGGGACACGAGATGGGGACATGGGGACAGGGGGTGACACAGGAGACACAAGGGACACAGGCTGAGGACATCCAGATGTGTCACAGGGACATGGGGGGACACAGGGATGGGTCATGGGGACACGAGATGGGGACATGGGGACAGGGGGTGACACAGGAGACACAAGGGACACAGGCTGAGGACATGCAGATGTGTCACAGGGACATGGGGGGACACAGGGGACACAGGACGGGTCATGAGGACTTGGGGTGACACAGGGGACACAGGCTGATGTGTCACAGGGACATGGGGGGACACAGGGGACACGGGGATGGGTCATGGGGATATGGGATGGGTCATGGGGACATGGGGTGACACAGGGGACACAGGACGGATCATGGGGACATGGGGTGACACAGGGGACACACAGTGAGAACATCCAGATGTGTCACAGGGACATGGGGTGACACAGGGGACACGGGGATGGGGACACAGGGATGGGTCATGGGGACATGGGGTAACACAGGGGACACAGGGATGGGTCATGGGGACACAGGGAGGGGACATGGGGACATGCGTGGACACAGGGGACACAGGGACAGGGACCTGAGGACATGGGGGGACAGAGGGGACACAGGCATGGGTCATGGGGACACGAGATGGGGACATGGGGACATGGGGGGACACAGGGGACACAGGGAGGGGTCATGGGGACATGGGGTGACACAGGGGACACAGGCTGATGTGTCACAGGGACATGGGGACACCCGGACACGCTGACAGGTGACACCAGCACAGCACACGATGACACAGCGACACACCTTGGGGACACTCCAGGACCCCAAACCCGGTCCCCAGGACCCCAAACCCCCACTTGGGGCCCCACGGGGGGGAGCCCCCAGAGTGTCCCCAGTGTCCTCAGGGGGTGGTGACACCCCGTGTCCCCACGTGTCCCCACGTGTCCCCGTACCTGATGCGCAGCGGCTCCAGGCGCCACAGGGACCTGGCGTGGGCGCACACGGCGCCACCCTCGTAGTTGACAACGCTGCTGGGAGGTGACAAAGGGTGGGGGGGGGTCACAGCCAGTTGGGGACCCCTCCCCACCCCAAAATTCGGGGGACAAATTTGGGGACAGCCCCACCTGCGCTCCTCGCCCTGCTCGGGGGCCGTGGGAGTCAGGCACTCGTCCATGTGGCCGTGGAACAGGCGCATGACGTGGCCGCCGGTGACAAAACCTGAGGGGACATTTTTGGGGAAGGGGTCAGGGTGTTGGGGACCCCCCAAAGGACCCCCCCCCCCACCCAAATTTGGGGTGCCTCAGGTGTCACCTTCCTCGGAGCCCGAGCAGATGGGGTTCATGTTCCACAGGGTCTGCATGAAGGAGGCGTCCACCTGCAGCTCCCCCGAGGCCGTGGAGAGGTGCTGGGACAGGGGGGACACGCGTGGGACACGGG